TCTGCTTCCTATCGCTTTATAATCTATCTATCTATCTATGCTATCTAATCTATCTAATCTATCTATCTATTTATCTATCTATCTATGTATCTATCTATTGCTATGCCTATCTATGCTATTATCTATCTATCTATCTATCTATCTATCTATCTACTCTATTCCTATCTATGCGATTTATCTATTTAATCTATCTATCTATCTACTCTATCTATCTATCTATCTATCTATCTTCTATGTTATGCTATCTATTTATCTATCTGTCTATAGCTAGCATCTCTGTCCCCCTGCCTGTCTCAATTCAATTTGAAATATAATTTTCGTTTTTGTCTGAACCAGGCGTGACCAGGGCAGTGACCGTGTCCCAGATGGTTATATGAAGGTAAAATAGACAATACTACTATATAAACACCATATAAAAAATAATACAACTACTATTCATCAGTAACAGTATACAATTATATCTTATATGAAAACATTATAGGATCTATGTATTCTGTCTGTCGCGTGTCCCTCTGGCCTATTCTCCTGCTCCCCCCCTTGCTTTCTCTCTGCTCTCTCTCTCTCTCTCTCTCGCTCTCGTCTCTCTCTTCGTCTCTCGTCTCTCTATCTGTCTCATCCCTCTCTCTCTCTCCTCTCTTCTCTCATCTCTTCTGTCCCTCTCTACACCACTTCCGTCGCGCTTTCAATGACTCTCGCTTCTTTCTCACTCTGCAGCTTCTATCTCCGCCGCATGTTAGGCAAAATTTGCAAAAGTGAAACATTAAGCTGTAGATGTGGCATTTGCTATAGTTAGCAATGCATAAATAAAACACTTAAAAAATCATACTAAGATTATCATGACATGTATTTGCAGTAGCCGCACTGCCAAGAAAATCGAGAACGGCATTTTCTTCGTCTCTAAACGTCTAAATCAGCAGTTTCAATCGGTGAGGCGGGCACCTTCCACATGGGGCAGTACACGGCCGCTGTCATGTCAGTGAAAGTCCTACAGTAGCTCCCATAACTGGTAAATGCTACAATGTATGTCTCTGTCGCTTCTTCTTCCTCTCTCTCTCTCTCATCTCGTCCCTGTCTCTCTCTCTCGTCGTTCTCTCTCTCCTCTGCGCATCGCTCGTCTCGTTCCTCTCGCCTCTCTTCCTCATGCTCCTCGTCTCTCGTTCTCTTCTCTCATTACTCTCTCTCTCCTCTCTCTCTCTCTCTCTCTCGATCTCTCTCTCTCTCTCTTTCTCTCTCTCTCGAGGTCTCTCTGCTCTCTCTTTTCTCTCTCTCTCTTCATTCTCTCCGCTCTCTTTCTCTCTCTTGCTCTGCTCTCTCGCATCTCTCATCGCTCGTCTTCTCTCTCTATCTTACATCTCTTCTCCTCTTCTCTCTCCTCTCTCGCTTATCTAACTCGTCTCTCGTCCCTCTTCTGCTCTCTCTCCTCGTCTCTCTCTCGTGCCTCATCGTCTCTCCCCCTTTTCTCTCTCTCTCTGGTTTCTCTCTCCTCTTCTCTCTAATTATCTATCTCTATATGCTAAGTCTATTCCCTCGCTCTCTCTCTCTCTCTCTTTATCTCTGCTCTCGCTTCTCTCCTCTCTTTATTCTCTCTCTCTTGCTCTCCGCTCCTCTGCTCTCTCGCTCTCTCTTCCCTCCCTCCCTCCCTGCCTCCGTGCCTCTCCCTCTGCTCATCTGCATACTCTATCACACTAGCTGCATTATATAACGTATATAATTATAGAATATTACGTGCGCAAGCGAAGGAAGATTGTATAACTGGAAATAAATAGGTCTCTACCCTTTTCGGCTTTTGTTTATTTATACCGTGCTAACATAATTATGCTACATTATGTACACAAAGCAACTATCTGTTGCGTGTTTGACTAGTTCGATACAATATACACTACAAAGCAGTCATTGACACCACAACGTAGCAACACAACACACAAAGTGGAACAGCAATGTTTGAAATGAGACCAGCCTAGGGGGTTTATCAATGAATCAGTGGCCTCTGAAATGGATCGATTGCTATCAATGTGTTTACAACTGTAACACTAACTCTAACCGTAACCGTAACCATATAACCCTAAACACTAACCTTTATCATAAGCGTAACCATAACATTGTGTTTACGGTTAACACTATAACAACATTTACTAACAACATAATTATGTAATCACATTTGCAGCAGTAGATCGCTTTTCGCGTTGGCTTTGGCGTTAAACTATGAGTGACTATACGGTAGTTCCGGGGTTTACGGAGGCAGAACCCATTACTGAAGAAACCATGCAACAGAGATACATGAGCAAAATCTACCAGCACCTTACATTAACCCACGAGATACAGCACCTTAAATCTACATTATTTAAAGTATATTATGGACATGGTGCCTGTTCACCTAATTCAGCTATATTGACAAGAAGTTCATTGCACATGAATATCGAGATGCAAGCAAAATAATTTGTACTAATTAAATATTGGACAATCTATAAAAATACTAAGCATCTGCTATACGTATATATCAGTATACATTCTGCTGTTAGCAAGTACAAACTATATGACCTGGTGCTGCCAGCTACTATCAGCTGATACTGAAAGTTAGTTCATTAATTGTAACAGAATAACCGAACTTTTCAGCGAAAATTGCTTATAATATAAAAATCCGCAATTAATTCTTAAGTACTATAGGCAATGCTCGAATACAACGTAAAGAAGCTAGTATCAGATATGCTGAATCAGTATATACATTTACAATGCAGTTTATGTACGCATGCGTGCTACGTGGGGCAATTGTGTGTTTAATTTTGTTTATTTTTATTTATTTGTTGAAGTTAAAAATAACGTGTTTCCATACTGTTGTTGTCCTGACGAAGAGACATGTTCTCGAAAGCTCGCGTAATAAAATTTTGACACTATTTCTATTTTTTAAATTTATCATTATCTCTTCATGGGTGTCGCGTGTGTTTTTAATATTATATATATATTATATATATATATATATATATTATACACCACAGCGTATAATATATATATATATATATATATATATATATTCTGATATCGCTACCTAATAATCATATTGCAAAACTACTAGAATTCACTTCTTCTGAGATTATAGCGGCCCCGGCAGGGCAACAACAGCAGCAGCAACAAACAACGAAAGCAGTTATAGTTCTAGCGGCCGCTGCTACCACCGGCCCCACCCTACTTCTCTACCTCCCCTTCTTTTTTTATTTCTCTGCTTCGCTCCTTATCGAATTAGTGCCTGCTCTCTTCGCTCCCCAATCGCGAAGTTAATCCGTCCGTCCCATCCGTCCGTCACCCATGCAACTATCCATCATTCCGTCCGTCACCCATCCCAACCATCCACCATCCGTGCCGCGCCGCCCTGTCCGTCCGTCCAAGCAACCATGCCCACG